AGTAGTTTCTATAATTCAAAAAAAGAAAGCAACACAGGCTAAGGCAGAATGCGGAAGCGAGACAACTGCCAGGTTATCCAACCTTGTATTATTGAATCATGATTTTCCTTTCTGTGTTACCAAAGAAGAGGGGCTGAACACCTTTTGCAGAGAACACCTTTCTGCGTAGGCGGCCGTCGGCCGCACTTAGGGATTATAACCCTCGCAAAGTAGAATTCTCCTTTCTGTGTTGCCAAAGAAGAGCGGCTGAACACCGTTTGCAGAGAACACCTTTCTGCGTAGGAGGCCTTCGGCCGCACTTAGGGATTATAACCCTCACGAAGTAGAATTCTCTTTTCTGTGTTGCCAAAGAAGAGGGTCTGAACACCTTTTGCAGATAATATTTCGCACATGTATACATTACCAGGTAAATATACAATAGTAATACACTTTTAATCATTTAAAATAAGTAAAATGTAAATGTTGTAATGCAAATATCTAGATCTAATGAAAGCTTATTTTCTCCTTTATGTGACTAGCTAATTTTTTATGTTGGCAATAACGTGATTTAATAATAAAAATCATTTTGTTTTTAATTTTGTCATGTTTTTTTTTATAAAATCTAATTTTTCTCATAAGCCTTACAAAAAATTTAAAACATATATATATCATTAAAAAAATATTTTTAATACCTTTCAAACGACATCTTTTACATTAATACAGTAGTTTTTTATTTGTTCAAATAAAAAATACAAAAATTGATTTTTCGACCTTCAATAACACCAATAATTATTATTTCCAACTCAAACAAAAAAAATACCGTTATGATCAGGACTAAGACCTCTATCGATCCCAATATAAATTTTTCCAATCAGAGAAATGTACGTATTCTGCACTTATACCAGGCCTTTTATGAACAATATATTTTTATAAATAATATTTCTAAAATACAATTAATTAACTAAATTATTACAGTAAATAACTTTGATAAAGGATTCCTTAAACATACATATGTACACCCAATAAACACCAAAAAAATATTTCTCCAACCTTGGAGAAATTCATAGTTCTCAAGTTGATATCCGACATCATTCTCCAACTCATCACTAACCGACGCGCAGATACGTAAAGTTATAGAGAAACAAAATTTTTAATTAAACTGGGTTCACGCAGAGAAACTTTTGTTGCTCATGTTTGGCAACTTATCTTTTGGTGTTGACCTTCGCGTTCACACTGAACAATTCTTTTGTACACAATTGTTGTTGTCAGCTGTGAACGGCCAACTAGATCTACTCAGACGAACGGTAGCACAGAGCGTGTTGCCCGAGCACGAGCAACACAAGTAACGAGTTGCCCATGAGCGTCGCCAGCATTGAATTTAGGGGGGGATGACATATAAAAAGATCCCTCCAAAATTCTATTTTGAAATTTTAATGTAGTTGATTGATTAATCCTTATTAATACATATGTGTAAACTAAATGTTTCCATTTGAAAAGACAATCTTAACTAATAGCCAAATATAAATTTAGTTTAATAAGTAGAGTGGAGTACTAAACTTACATTTTATTGACTGGAAGAACAGGAAATCGACACCTGAGGGGAAACTCTACCTATTTCGGCAGCCAGTTCCAAAACGCCCAATTTCAGAAAACTTTTCAAGAACACCTTATTTCAGAATTTGGTTAAAAAACACTCTATCTCAGAATTTTATTGAAGAACGCCCTATCTCAGAATTCGCCCTATCTCAGCACAATTTCAATATACATATTTTTATTTGAGAAAAGGTATTCTGGGTAATTTTCAATAAAATTCTGATATGGGTCGTTCTTGAAAAGTTTTCTGAGTTAGGGCGTTTTCGAACTGGCTGCCGAGACAGGTCGAACTTCCACTCAGGTGTCGAAATATAGCAGGGTTCGGAAATATTCACTCACCTTCGTACGCGAACGCGAAGGTGAACGTATCAAATATTCTGTATTGATTCTCCTTCGCGAACGTGAAGCATAAAACCTGTCCAGATAGTTCGCGTTCGCGAATGTTAGGTAGAAAAAATTTCCGCTGTTGTTCGTACGCGTATGTATTGGTGGACCAAACAGCGTGCGTTCATATATGTAGCTATAAGTGGCAGCGATGCCTTCGCGAAGGTTCACTGCTGTCGTTCTCCTTCATAAATGAATGAAAATGCTGCGGCAAATATTCGCGGAAAGTTGGTGTGGCTAGAGATACTATTCTGTGCGAAGGCAATTTTGTTAATTGCATAAGATTTGCACCGTTCATTCGATTTTCAAAAATGAGGTG